AGAGAGAGAGAGAGAGAGAGAGAGAGAGAGAGAGAGAGAGAGAGAGAGAGAGAGAGAGAGAGAGAGAGAGAGATTGGTGATTTTGGGACTTGACGACATTTGGATTCAGACTTGACATGGGGATCGAGACATTGGACGAGGGATTATTTGGGGCCTGTATCGAAGACTCGGTGTTGACAACATTCTCATCTTCCCCCTCTTCTTCGTCTGACCTCCTTCCTCTTCGTCTGTGTATGGTCTGGACCTGGCGCCTTCTTCCTGTGTGTAGTGCCAGGCCCTTCACACCTTGCGATGATGATTATGTATGTTTGGTCTGCATTGTGACATTGATTGGTCTGATCATTGGTATATTAGCCTTCCGCTGCGCTATCTTGTACTATGTGAGAGAGGTCGGTTCTTGTTCTGGTCTGCACCTTTACGGTATGCGACATCATTTCTTCTACTTGCTATTGTCTATTTCCCTGATGAGGAGGGAGGGCATCGGTCCCATTTGCTAATCTCCCTCATAAGGTCCCAATGCCATTTCCCCGATGAGTTTCCATTTGCTATCTCCCTGACGAGGCCATGTGTGGCAACTTGTGGTCCCCACACGTACAGGTGCTATTTCTTTACCTGATGATGAGGGTGTAGGTTCCATTTTGCTGCTTCTTTCTCTGATGGGGGCCAGTGTGTCAACTTGTGGTCCCCACACGTTCAGGTGGGGTCCACTGCATCAATGTGGCGAGCCATGTAAGTGGGGGGCGGGAACAGTCAAGGGAGAGCCAAAAGAAGATAATAAAAAGGGAATATACCTGAACGAAAAGCCGAAAGAAAGAAAGAAAAGAATGTAACTCCACAGGAAAATGCAAAAGAACGGTTTCGGTGTGCTTGATGAAGTCGATTTATATGTGACGATATATATGTATATATATCGTTAAACAGAGAATATACATATGTATATAATATTGAATATGTGTATGAAGATATATATCGTCAAACAGAACTGCCCGGTAAACCGTCGGCAGAGAGAGAGAAGAGGACAACAAATGAGGGGCTGTGACAAACTGTTTCGTCGGAGTTTCACCCAATCGACTCATCAGGAGGCTGAAGCCTCAACAGTCTGCAGAATCCACTAACGGATGACACTGAAAGTGATAATCCACCTTAACCCCGGTTATGACTACCTATCTATCTATCTATCTATCTATCTATCTATCTATCTATCTATTATAGTCGTTGATGCTTAACCACAACTGGGGTTAAGGTGGATTATCACTTACAGTGTAATCAGTCAGTTAGGGGATTCTGCTGCAGACTGTCGAGGGTTCAGCCTCCTCCTGATGAGTCGGTAACACTTCGATGAAACAGTTTGTCGCAGCCCCTCGTTTATTGTCCTCTTCTCCCTCTCTGCCTACGGTTTACCGGGCAGCTCTGTTTGACTATACATAGATAAATATACCCTCAATATATATCGAGAGTTCAGCCTCCTGAAGTCGGTGAAACTCTGACAAACCAGTTTGTCACAGCCCCTCGTTTGTTGTCCTCTTCTCCCTCCCTCTCTGCCTACGGTTTATCGGCCAGCTTGGTTTGACGATATATGTATACACACGTGTTTGTGTGTGTGTGCATGTGCGTGTGTGTGCGCGCGCGTTTGTGTTTGCGCGCACGCGCGCGAGTGCTCTGTGTGTGTGTGTGTGTGTGTGTGTGTGTGTGTGTGTGTGTGTGGGCGTGTGTGTGTGTGTGTGTGTGCGAGAGAGAGAGAGAGAGAGAGAGAGAGAGAGAGAGAGGATATTATGATGGGAATAACAGACCTTCATCCTGCTGATGGTGTGTGTGTGGTGGATGTGTGCGTGTGTGTACAGTGTCAACGGGAGGTTGCGAATCTGGCAAAGAACTTAGATGAAACGAGCCGAGCACTTAAGGAGATGGAAACAAGGCTGGAAATCACACAGCGAAGAGAGCGAAGGGCAAGGGAGAGACTGCAAGAACTGCACGACGACAAACGGAAACTGAGGGACAGAGTCAAGGCAGCTATATTGCAGGTACTAAGGGATTGAGATCTTTCTTTCTTTCTTTGTTTTTCTTTTCTTATCTTATCTTTTCTTTTTCTTTCATTTTTTTGGGCTTATGGAAGGAAGGGTTTAGGGAGAGGGTGAGTGGCGGTTTAGGAAGGTTGTAGTTCTAACGGTGCACACAACAACAATGCACAGCAACAAGCATAGGTTGCTTTCTATTCGAATACAAAGCGTATGTGTTCGTAAACATTATTACTTTTTTTTTTAAAACTTTTTGTGCACTGTGACAGGACCGTAATTTGTTATTTTTGTGAACGTTGAGCTGATGGTTCTCTTTGAGGTTCATTTAAAAAAAAAAAAAAAAAAAGAGAACTCCTCGAGGTCAGGTCCTTGGGGGGAGCACCCGCAGTACACCCTTGCTTTGGGACCTATCGGTCGTGGGACCAAGTGGATAGATAGGGTGTTTCACACCTCTCCCAACTGTCGTCCCAGTGTTTTTTTCATGCAATTTCTCATATTCCTTCTTTTTTTTTTTCTGTTGGGGGCGGGAGGGGGCCGGGGGGGGGGCGGGATTGTGACCGTTTCTCAATTTATGCGTGTCATCTTGCGCGGGGGCCGTTTCGTAATTGCCCTTCTCTGTATCGTTCCAATTTTGACGATGTTCCAGAGGGACTCGGAGGATCCTCATGTGCTTCAACTGGCTGCCGCCCACTTTCTGAGCCTACCGTTTTCCCCCGAAGATAATGCATATGTGTTGTAAGCGAATACGGCACATAGGTTGCTTTCTATTCGAATACAACACGTGTGTTCTATTCTAATCATCGATTCGTTTTGTGCGACTCGAATACAACACGTGTTATGTTCGGGGGAAGACGGTTGCTTCAGTCTCTCTCTCGATGTTCTATTCGAATCATCGATTCTTTTTGTGCGACTCGAATACAATGCATGTGTCATGTTCGGGGGAAGACGTTTGCTTCAGTCTCTCTCTCGATCTATGCGTGTCATCCTTGCGCAGGCCTCGTCATAATGTCGTTGTGAAGGGTGTGCGGGTCTGTTGTAGTGACCTGTGCGGGTCTGCCGTAGTCTCCCCCTTCACAACAACAGCAGACCCGTACACCCTTCATAGAGTCGGTCTCTCTGCTGCCATACCACATATTTGTGAAGAAGGCTGGTGTAGACATGCACGACTGGCGTGACTCGTCCTCCTTTGGTGCTCCGTTCTGAGATTGCCGGTGTAGGCTTGCATGACTGGCGTCTTCACCTGAATATAGAACGTACGGTCATTTTCCCTGCATCTGGACTGAAAGGTGTCCCAAATACGGCGACAACGACGATATGTTCTATTCGTGAGAAGACAGTAGCCTCCCTCATCCTTTGGTGATCCCTTTTATTTATGTATATTTATTTTAAATTATTTATTTTCCTTCCCTGTTTCTCCTTCCTTCGTCTTTTTTTTTTCATTAAACAAACAAAAAAGGGTGTCAGCCTTGAGATATCATCATCGAACTGACCGGCCCTATAGGTAATTCAGACTTCTAGTATTTTACTTTACTCATCTGCTTCCAGCAGAGTTTGAACTCCGGTCTGTATGTTAACAGTCCAGGGGTGTAGCAACTTGGGGTGTACCACTATTTCTTAAATGTACCTGACCTCATTTACGGCCGGACGTGTGTGCATCTGACCGCAATTCCGTCCAGAAATAAGGAAAAAAATGCGCCAGTGTGAGTATGACCCGGGCTATAAGCCAGTTGGCGCCTCCAGGAATGAGAGAGAGCTCACGTGGAGCATCACGTAGCTGGTTTTTTTTTTTTTTTTTTTTT